AAAAAAAAAAAAAAAAAAAAAAGAGAAACTGTGAAAGGGGTGATAAGAAAAGAAGGAAAAAAATGGAAACAAAGCTTTAGTAAATAAAGGGGATGGGGAGGTTGAAGGAAGAAAAATGGATTCAGAAAAAAGAGAAATCAAGATATCTATCATGCACAGGTACAAACTTCCTTTGGTGAATGTCATCATTATGCGTATGTAAATTATGTCAATACAACAGTGAAAAATCAATAGCCTTCTTGTACACAAATAACAGATTCACTGAGAGAGAAATTAAGGAAATAATTCATTTCACAATAGCACCCCCAAAAATGAAATATCTACGAATCAATTTAATAATAGAAGCAAAAGACTCCTGCACTGAAAACTATAGCACTCTGGAAAAACAGACTGAAGAGTATCTTAGGTACAATGTGAAATAGGTAGAAAAGGGCTAAAGGTGTAGGAAAAGTGGGAAGGGTAGGGGAAAGGTAATAAGGGAAAGAAAAAATAGGAGAAAATGCAAAAATGGAAATAAAATGTTTGTAAATGGGGAGGGAAGAAGGGGCTAAAGGGAGGGCAGGGACAAGGGGAATAAATGAGAAGCAATACCTGTCATGTAAAGGTACAAGTAAAGGTACTGTATATCTAAAATGAACCAATAAACTCAATGAGGAAAAAAACCAGATTGAAGAGGATATAAGAAAATGGAAAGATATCCCCTCCTTCTGGGTAGGAAGAATCAACATAGAGGAAATGGCCATACTACCAAAACTGCTATATAGATACAATGCAATGCCAATTGAAATTCCAACACTATATTTCACAGAAATAGAAAAAATAATCCAAAAATTTATTTGGAATCTGAAGAAAACTAGAATAGCAAAAGCCATCCTAAAAAACAGAAATATGACAGCAGGTATAACAATTCCCAATTTGAAACTATACTACAAAGCCACTGTGATACAAACAGCATGGCACTGGCAAAGAAACACACCAGAGGATCAGTGGAAAAGACTAAAAGACACAAAAACAACTGCAGATGTACTCAGCTACCTCACCTTTGACAAACGAGCTGAAGATCCCCACTGGAGGAAAGATAACCTTATTAATAAATGGTGTTGGAAAAACTGTATCTCAACCTGTCAAAGATTAAAACTAGACCCTTATCTTTCACCATGCACTAAACTAAAATCCAAGTGAATTAAAGATCCAAATATTAAAAAAAAGAAACACTAAACTTGCTGGAAGGTAAGTTAGGCAGAACTCTTGAAGATATTGGCATAGGAAGAGACTTCTGAACAAATCCTCAGTAGCACGGGAACTAGGAGAAAGAATCAACAACTGGGATCTCATCTTACTAAAAATCTTCTGCACTGAAAAAGAAACCATAAATAGAACTAAAAGACAATCTACAGTGTGCAAAAATATTTTACCAGCTGCACCTCAAAGGAGACTTATCTAGAATATATAAAGAACTCAAGTGAACACCCGGCGGCATGCGCGCGAGCTCCTGGCCTGCGTGACAACAGACCAGGAAGGCCCCAAAGACCCCGGAGGGGGTTTCTTCAGCTGCCTGCC